TTTTTCTGTCAAGATGGGGTGCTGAGTGTACATTAATGAGAAATAAAATGAACTTTTTTGATTTTAGCAAATGGCTGCAATGAAACAAAGAGTGAAAAATTTAAAGGGGTCTCAATACTTTCCGTACCCACTGTATGTGTGTGTGTGTGTGTGTGTGTGTGTGTGTATATGTATGTATATATATATACATATATATACATATACATACATACATAGCAACACAATCACGGATAAATCAGCAGGACTGACACAATATTAAGGGGGCGGCTGCGACTGATGCCGTACCATCAACAAACAAAAACAATCCGACTAACTTAAATTTACAGCTTTTTAGTTGTCAAAACCCCAAAACCAAAGAATATACATATATATGTCAGTGAAAAAAATAACAACAGACAGAAAAGAAAACACAAAGGACAATGCAACCAACTTAACACTAAACCCTGCCCAACCCCAAGACCACACATCTAGTGCCTCTTTGCCAAATTCTCTAAAGCTTTGTCTCCTTGGAGTGATTCATGGCAATCTACACAACATCTCTGGGTTCTGTTACTTCTCTTACCATTGTTATGCCGATGACACCCAGCTGGTCTTGTCATTTCCCCCCGGTGACACCCAAGTGGAGGCACGCATCGCTGCGTGCTTGGCTGACATCTCGAAGTGGATGACGACACACCAGCTGAAGCTCAACCTGGACAAAACCGAGCTACTGTTCCTCCTGGGGAAGGGTTGCCCGCACCAAGACCTGTCCATCACCATTGATGATACCGTGACTCTGGTGCTAGCCTACAGGGCAGTGAAAGGAACAGCTCCTTCCTATCTCCAGGCCAGGGTCAAGCCCTACACCCCCGCCCAACCACTCCGCTCTGCTGCCTCGGGGCGATTGGTTGCCCCGTCGCTCAGAGGTCCCTGCGGCCGATCGACCCGGTCGCGGCTGTTTTCTGTCCTGGCCCCACAGTGGTGGAATGAACTCCCCACTGATGTCAGGACAGCAGAGTCACTGCCCATCTTTCATCAGGCTGAAAACTCACCTCTTCAAGAAGTACTACCCTGAGCCTTCCACTCACCACTTATTGTATTCCATCCATCCATCCATCCATTTTCCTCCGCTTATCCGGGGTCGGGTCGCGGTGGCAACAGGCCAAGCAGGCTGACCCAGACTTCCCTCTCACCGGCAACATGTTCCAGCTCATTCTGGGGGATCCCGAGGCGTTCCCAGGCCAGCTGGGAGATGTAATCCCTCCAGCGTGTTCTGGGTCTTCCCCGGGGTCTCTTCCCAGTTGGACGTGCCTGGAAAACCTCCAGTGGGAGGCGTCCAGGAGGCATCCTAATTAGATGCCCGAACCACCTCAGCTGACTCCTTTCGACACGAAGGAGTAGCGGCTCGACTCCAAGCTCCCTCCTGATGACCGAGCTCCTTACCCTATCTCTAAGGCTGAGCCCGGCCACCCTACGGAGGAAACTCATTTCGGCCGCTTGTAGCCGCGACCTTGTCCTTTCGGTCACGACCCAGAGTTCGTGACCATAGGTGAGGGTAGGAACGTAGACCGAGTGGTAAATTGAGAGCTTTGCCTTCCGACTCAGCTCCCTCTTCACCAAGACGGTCCGGTGCAGCGCCTGCTTTACTACTGCAGCCGCACCGATCCGCCTGTCGATCTCCCACTCCATCTTACCCTCACTCGTGAACAAGACCCCGAGATACTTGAACTCCTTCGCTTGAGGTAGGCACTCCGTCCCCACCTGGAGGGAGCAATCTACAGGTTTCCGGCAGAGAACCATGGCCTCAGATTTGGAGGCGCTAACTCTCATCCCCACCGCTTCACACTCGGCTGCAAACCGCCCCAGTGAATGCTGGAGGTCACGATCCGAGGAGGCCAACAGGACCACATCATCTGCAAACAGCAGAGAGGCGATCCCGAGACCCCCGAACCCGACGTTCTCCACCCCCAGGCTGCGCCTAGATATCCTGTCCATGAAAGTCACGAACAGGACCGGAGACAAAGGGCAGCCCTGGTGGAGGCCAACACCCACCGGGAACGTGTCTGACGTATTACAGAGAATGCGGACACAGCTCCTACTGCAGTCGTACAGAGACCGGATCGCCCATTGTAATGGGTCTGGCACCCCATACTCCCGCAGCACCCCCCACAAGAACCCCGAGGGACCCGGTCGAAAGCCTTCTCCAAGTCCACAAAGCACATGTAGACTGGTTGGGCAAACTCCCAGAACCCCTCCAGTAGTCTTGCGAGGGTAAAGAGCTGGTCCACTGTTCCACGCCCGGGACGGAATCCGCATTGCTCCTCTTGAATCTGAGGTTCGACAAACGGTTGGAGCCTCCTTTCCAGCACCCTGGCATAAGCCTTCCCCGGGAGGCTGAGTAGTGTGATACCCCGGTAATTCGAGCACACTCTCCGGTCCCCCTTTTTGAAAATGGGAACCACCACCCTGGTCTGCTAGTCCATGGGCACTGATCCCGACCCCCATGCGACATTGAAGAGGCGTGTCAGCCAGGACAGCCCAACTATGTGCAGCGCTTTCAGCATCTCAGGGCGGATCTCATCCACCCCCGGCGCCTTGCCACCAAGGAGCTTTTTGACTACCTCAGTGGCCTCTGCCAGGGATATGGGTGAGCCTCCCCCTAGATCTTCAGGCGCTGCCTCCTCTGCAGAGGACATGTTGGTCGGGTTTAGGAGTTCCTCAAAGTGCTCTTTCCACCGCCCAACGATGTCCTCCGTCCGGGTTAGCAGTTCCCCCCCTGCTGAGAACAGCCTGGGGTAAGCCCTGCTTTCCCTTCCTGAGCCGTCGGATGGTTTGCCAGAACCTCCTCGAGGCCAACCGAAAGTCCTTCTCCATGGCCTCCCCGAACTCCTCCCATGCCCGAGTTTTAGCATTCGCGACCACCGCAGCTGCAGCCCTTCTGGCCTGCCGGTACCTGTCAGCTGCTTCGGGAGACCCCTGGGCCAACCAGGCCTTGAAGGTCTCCTTCTTCAGCTTGACGGCTTCCCTCACCTCCGGTGTCCACCACCGGGTTCTCGGGTTGCCGCCACGACAGGCACCGATGACCTTCCGGCCACAGCTCCTAGCGGCCGCGTCCACAATAGAGGCTTTGAACATGGTCCATTCGGATTCCATGTCCCCAACCTCCCTCGGGATGTGTGAGAAGTTCTTCCGGAGGTGGGAGTTAAAGACCTCCTGGACAGGGTCCTCCGCCAGACGTTCCCAGTTCACCCTCACTACATGTTTGGGCTTGCCGGGTCTTTCCAACCGGTTCCCCTGCCATCTGATTCAACTCACCACCAGGTGGTGATCAGTTGACAGCTCTGCTCCTCTCATCACCCGAGTGTCCAAGACATACGGCCGCAAATCAAATGATACGATTACAAAGTCGATCATTGATCTCCGGCCTAAGGTGTTCTGGTACCAGGTACACTTATGAGCCACCTTATGTTCGAACATGGTGTTCGTTATGGCCAAACCGTGGCAAGCACAGAAGTCCAATAACGAAACACCAGATCGGGCAAGCCGTTCCTCCCAATCACCCCCTGCCAGGTTTCTCCATCATTGCCCACGTGAGCGTTGAAGTCCCCCAGGAGAACTATGGAGTCGGTAGGCGGCGCCCTTTCCAGGAGCCCTCCCACCGACTCCAAGAAGGCCGGATACTCTGAACTGCTGTTTGGTGCATAAGCACAAACCACAGTCAGAGCCTTGCTCCCCGCAACCCGTAGGCGCATGGAGGCGACCCTCTCGTTCTCCGGGGAGAACTCCAACACAGCGGCGCTCAGCCGGGGGCTCGTGAGTATCCCCACTCCCGCCCGGCGCCTCTCACCCTGGGCAACTCCGGAAAAGGACAAAGTCCAATCCCTCTCCAGGAGCTTGGTTCCAGAGCCAGTGCTGTGTGTGGGGGTGAGTCCAACTATATCTAGTTGGTATCGCTCCACCTCCTGCTCCAGCTCTGGCTCTTTCCCCGCTAGCGAGGTGACGTTCCACATCCCTAGAGCTAGTCTATACTGCCGGCGATCGGCTCGCCCAGGCCTCCCGCCTGACCCGCCGCCCGGTCTTGTCCCTTGCGTCCACAGGGTGGCTGCTCCATGCTGTTTATTCGGGCTGAGCCCGACCGGGCCCCATGGGCGAAGGCCCGGCCACCAGACGCTTGCCAACGAGCTCCCATCCTGGGTCTGGCTCCGGGAGGGTGCCCCGGTTTCCCCGGTCCGGGCGAGGTGGCTGAAGTCCGTGGGCTGCTTATCATTAGGGTCGTTTTGAACCGCTCTTAGTCTGGGCTCTCCCCTGAAACCTGTTTGCCTTGGGAGACCCTACCAGGGGCTAATGCCCCGGACAACATAGCTCCCAGGATCACTGAGCCACTCAAACTCCTCCACCACGTTAAGGTGGTGATTCGCGGAGGAGCTTATTGTATTCTTACTAGTTTATTGCACTTACTGTATTCATACTAGTTTGTTTCTGTACGTTGGCTCTGGTTTATGCTCTTAGATGCTTGTTTAAAAAAGGAGATGCACTTATGACTTCTGGTGACTAGTAGTTCTCTTGAATGCCTATGTTGAATACACTTATTGTAAGTCTCTTTGGATAAAAGCATCTGCTAAATGACTGTAATGAATGTAATGCAATGCAATAAGGCAAAATGACTAACAACAGCTTGTTTACTTGCACCTAACTGTCACTTTAAAGGTGGACTCTGCTTTTTTATTCCAATACATATTTTCTCAAATCAAGCAGCTTCTCTTCACTACTGGCTATTATCTGTTCTTGTGTGCGCTTAAAGAATCTGGAATAAACAGCCCTCTGTAAATGGGAAACAAACAAAGATTTATGAGCCTTAATATCGCTCGCATTAATGAAGTCATCTTCAGCCCCTGTGTCAATCTTAACTGGTAAATCGCATTGATCAACTGTGGTGCAATTTATTTTCACTCCCAGTATCTTCATCATGTGACAAATCTTGATAAAAGATGTTTCTCTCAAATCATCACTGTCATTTATTTCTTCAACTGTGAGCACCTAATTCCCTTTCTTCATATATTTGGAGAAATGCATTTTTTGCATAATGGTGTTGTCCTTTACACCCAAACATGTTTTCCCTTGAGACATTGTCTCTGTTTGTGCTTTTCACTGTGAATCTTGCAAGTGAACGTCTTGTTCTCCTTATATATTAAAACAAGCTCCTGCTTTTTCCTTTCACTGACGCAGCGCCTCAGTGCCTTGGCCCGCTAATCTGTGTGCATGTTTATACACGGCAGTACTTGTTGGGGCACATATCTAAACACATTATTACACTGATCCCACTTTAGCTGAAGTTCTACAGGTGTAGTGAATGTATGTGCATGTTCTTCATTCATTAACACTCCTTTCTTGTCTTATGCAGAGTTCTACGAGGAGATCTTGTCGCTGGCGTTCGGCCTCACCTGTCAGACCATTTCCCCCCAAATGTGGCAGCTTCTTGGCGTTTTGTACGAGGTGTTCCAGCACGACTGCTTCGACTACTTCACAGGTACGTCAAGTGAAGTGGAGTCAATCCATTATTTGTCATTAGGGGGCAATTTGTGTTGCAGCAAGCGCAAAAACAGAAACAGAAATCATGGCCTTAAATATAACATAGAAACATACAGTAGCTGACAGATGACAGAGACACAGAATCAGAGTGTCTCATGTCCATCGAGCCACGATGATCCTGATCAAATTAAAGCTCCATTGATAGATTTTACACCCACATTGACGTATGTTGACAGATCTGTGGAGCTGGTATGATGAACATGGTAGCTAAAGGCTGCCTCTTTACATATCCAGCAGACACAGAGCAACATGAGTTACCTGATGAATGTCGCTCCGATATTCATGATCCTTTTAGCTCTGTTTTGGTTTCTGCCAACTCCCGAGAAAGATTTCTGCTTGCAAACGTTGTCTGCTGTGTGGTCCTGGGCAGGTAGTGTAGAGCAGCTTTAGCAGAGCTTTCTGATGAAACTTCAACACTGAAACATGCTCAAATGCTCCATAGAACTCCAAAGAGCTGCAGAGCTGAGTGACAATTCAATTTCAATTCAATTTTATTCGTACAGCCCAATATCACAAATCATAACTTGTCCTCAGACACAATCAAATGTCGTTGAATGATGCTGTACAATCTGTACAACATCCTCTGACCTTTGACCTTGGTATCAGAACAGGAAAATCTCCCCAAAAAAAACTTTAACTGTCGAAAAACAGGTTGAAACCTCAGAGAGTGTGGGAGTAGATGTCATGTGTACAGAATGAACAACATAATGAAATTACAACATAGTCAATTCATATGACAGAAAACGTACATGTAATGAGAGTAGCACCAATAATAGAGAAATGATTACTACTAATAGCAGTAGTGGATATGATAGAATAAAAGCAGTAATAGTAATAGAAATGTGACAAATAATGATAATTGTAGTGTGTATATATATATATATATATATACACACACACACACACAACCCCAATCCATGGAAACCTGGGTGATGAGAAAGCACAGACTCCAGAGAATAAGCTAAGTTAGTACCGTGCATTAACTGGAAATGAACACATACAGATGGAGGAGGAGAGGAGGAGAAAGGAGCTTAGTGTATGATAGGAAGCCCCCAGGTACTCCAGGCCTACAGCAATATATCTCTGAGCTGGTCCAAGGCAAACCTGAGGCAGCCCTAACTACAGGATGTTATCAAAGAGGAGTGTTAAGCCGACTCTTAAGTCGAGGGTGTCTGCCCCTTCAGACTGCAACTGAAGTGGGTGGAGGAGCTTCATAGCTGAAGGCTCTGGTTCCCATTCTACCTTTGGAGACTGTAGGAACCACAAGTAACTCTGCACTCTGGGAGCACAGTGTTCTACTGGTAGGGCATAGTACCATCAACTCTTTAAGATGTAATGGTGCCTGAACATTCAGGGCTTTCCTAGGTAAATCCTGATTGAATATAGAAAAACTATTGTAGGAAGCCACACAACTGATCTGTTACTACTTTGTCAATGATGTGATAGAGAAAGGGAAGGTTAGTGGGTCTGTAGTCAGCCAGAACTCCTGGATCAAGAGTGGGCTTCTTAAGAAGAGGTTTAGTTATATTCATTAGATTAATTTTATCTCTAATACAGAGAAAGAGCTGACTTCCATTGTCTTATGATCTTCTTTTTCAGAGGGGAAGTAGAGTTCATTGTCATTCGCGGTGAGCCTGTAGCACTATCAACAGAATGATCAATCAGGGAGGGACATCTCTGACGTTTCACTTTATTGCTCGATGCTTTGTTTAGATGTTAATGCTTTGTTCTAATGTTGCATGTTTGCATGTTTGCACCCACCCACAAACATGGTGGTAATGTTAATGATTGTGTGTGTTTATCTTACAGACATGATGCCTCTCTTGCACAACTATGTTACCGTGGACACGGACATGCTCCTGTCCAACCCGAAGCACTTAGAGGTCATCTACAGCATGTGCAAAAAGGTCAGGCCATACGCGTCTGCACCAGCTCGTTTACATCAGATGTGAAGGATCCTGTTTCTTCAGTGCTAGAGCTGAGTCATGACTTGTAAACTGTTATGACCGTTGACGTGTTGTAGGTGCTGACCATAGATGCCGGTGAGGATGCAGAGTGTCACGCTGCAAAACTGTTGGAGGTGATCATCCTGCAGTGCAGAGGCAGAGGCATTGACCAGGTGAGAACAGCCCCACAGTACTAACCTTTATTTCCATGTACGTTCATTGTTGAAAACATCTACCATGTATTTAACACAGTAGTTCCCAACATGTGTCTGTTTTTGCTAAAGTCAATTATTATTATTATTCTTATTCTTTTATTTGTATACTTTATAATAAAGCATCTGTTTTATCTTGCTGAATGTTTGCGCCGTCTTAACAGGCTTTGCTGTATGATCTCTTTTTGTAAAGTTGTTGTTCGGTCCCTCTGCCCTCTCGTTGGAGTGCAGAGCAGCCTGGTGAAGCCTAAAGAGAGGATGCATTTACACACATTTTCTAAAGTAAATCTCTTGGCGACAGATTCCATCTGAGGGCAGAAGTGCATCGCTACAGCCCTGTCCGACGTTTCAACAGTTTATCCATCACCTGAAGCGAACTATTTCAACCATTTATCAATTATGAAAATATTTTCTCAATCTTGAGTGAAAAATGGATGAAATAAAGGCCTCTGACAGCTTTAGCTACATTGTATATGCCCATTGCCCAAATACAACCATTTAAGTATTATAATGTTACTTAGAGTTTGCTCTGACTCCTCAATGCAGCCCTTTATAGATGGAGCAGTCCCATCTTTAGCATGAGCTCATCCAGCCACATGCTGGACCGGGTTGACGTCCCTGTGCTTTGTGGGCTCGCTTTGCCAGCAGCAGATGAGCATACAGCGGGTAAAATAAGTATTGAACACGTCACCATTTTTCTCAGTAAATATATTTCTAAAGGTGCTATTGACATGACATTTTCACCAGATGTCGGTACCAACCCAAGTAATCCATACATACAAAGAAATCCTAACAGATATGTTCAGAAATTAAGTTATGTGTAATAAAATGGAATGACACAGGGAAAAAGTATTGAACACGCTTACGGGGAGAACGTGCAAACTCCACACAGAAGGACCACCTGGGATCAGGGATCGAACCCGGGTCCCTCTTGCTGTGAGGTGACAGTGCTAGCCACTACACCACCATGCAGCCCCATTTTTCCATTCATCCTTCCTGCTGAAAGTCTGCTGAAAAACAGCCCCACACCATGATGTTCCCACCTCCAAACTTCACTGTTGGTTTGGTGTTTTTGGGGTGATGTGCAGTGCCATTTGACCCAAATATGGTGTGTATTATGGCATCCAAAGAGTTCAATTTTGGTCTCATCTGACCAGACTATATTCTCCGTATATTTCACAGGCTTGTCTAAATGTTGTGCAGCAAACTTTAAATGAGCTTCAACATGCTTTTTCTTCAGCAATTGAGTCTTGCGTGGTGAGCGTGCATACAGGCCACGGCGGTTGAGTGCATTACTTATTGTTTTCTTTGAAACTATTGTACCTGCTCATTCCGGGTCTTTCTGAAGCTCTCCACAAGTGGTCCTTGGCTCTTGGACAACTCTTCTGATAATTATTTTCACTCCTCTGTCAGAAATCTTGCGAGGAGAACTTGGTCGTGGCCGGTTTATGGTGAAATGATGTTCTTTCCACTCCCGGATTATGGCCCCAAAGTGCTCAACTGGTTTCAGAGAAATAAAATAAAGCTGCTAGAATGGCCCAGATGATCAGCTGACTTGAATCCAATAGAAATTCTACAGAAAGAACTAAAGATCAGAGTTCACAGAAGAGGCCCACGGAACCTTGAAGATTTGAAGACTGTTTGTGTGGAAGAATGGGCCAAAATCACACCTGAGCAATGCATGTGACTAGTTTCTCCATACAGGAAGCTGTCATTACCAACAAAGGCTTTTGTGCAAAGTATTAAATACATTTCAGTAAGCGTGTTCAATACTTTTTCCATGTGTCATTCCATTTTATTACACATAACTTAATTTCTGAACATATTTGTTAGGATTTCTTTGTATGTATGGATTACTTGGGTTGGTACCGACATCTGGTGAAAATGTCATGTCACTGGCACCTTTAGAAATATATTTACTGAGAAAAATGGTGACGTGTTCAATACTTATTTTACCCGCTGTATATAGGACAAACTATCATCAGCTTGTAACAAAAGTAAAACAAATGTTGGAAACAATAGTCAGAAGCCAGTCCAAAGCCTGATGATTTTGCTCAAAGGAAAATACTTTTACATACATTTACCTCATTAATTGACACTTGCCATGTTTATTAGGAAAAGCCAACATTGTGACATTATACATATGACAGAAAATAGCTTTTTTCAACTTGATTTAATATATTAGCTTAGCCTAATACAACCTCAGAGAGCTTTACAAACTGCACAGCATACAACATCCTCTGTCCTTTGACCCTCACATCAGAAAACTCCCCCAAAATAACTTTATCAGGGAAAGAAGGAAGAGACCTCAGGGAGAGCAGCAGAGAAGGATCCTCCTCCCAGGATGGCCAGAAGTGCAGTACATGTCATGTTCTTTCCATATGGACAGGAACATTGCCTTCTGCCATAGTCTCCCAGTGGTTGTTTGGATTTAAGAGCGTTGAGGAGTCGTGGGGGCAGGCGTACAAAAAATGTTAATGTATACTCTGTAGTTCAAGCAACCAACCCTAGGGGAGGCAGAAAGCCGCAGGAGGACGTGGAACGCATATTAGGCTGGTAAATAAGCGAGAGCCTTTGGGTGCTGGCAATTTCATTTGCATATATTACTATATATATTCTTAATGATGCAAAGCTTATGTCAGTGCTAATCCACTCCTAGTGTGTATGATTTTCCTTAATTACTATAATTAGCAGTTCAAATACTTTTACAGCAAGACCAGCTCTCAAAGTACTACTCAAGTTTATACTACTGGTTGACCTGAACCTCTTAAATCTTTCCTATTCTTATTCTATTCTCAGGTGCAACTATAGATGACATCAAAATGACATTTAGTACATTTGAGTATTTTGTCATGTCATGTGTATACTTGGCTTAAATTACAGGAACTAGAATCAGATTCTGTAATCTTAAACCTGGCTTTGTCAGTGAACATCAAGACATCAGGGATATGATTCCGCCCGTCTCTCTGCAGGCAACCAGAAAAGGAGAAAACGCCAGATATCCAGAGGATCACTGACGGCGTCTGAGGCTGTTACATGTGGTAACAGCTCATGTAACAGGCCGTTACATGAGGCTGAACACTGTGGTTTGACCGACCAAAGAACTGCCGGAGTAACAGCAGCCTAATGTCTCTGTGTTCCCTACGTGCAGTGCATCCCTCTGTTTGTGGAGGCAGTTCTGGAGCGTTTGATGAGGGGGGTGAAGTCCAGCGAGCTGAGGACCATGTGCCTGCAGGTGGCCATCGCTGCTCTGTACTACAACCCGGCCCTGCTCATCCACACTCTGGACAACATGCACTTCCAACACAACCCTCAGCCCATCACTGCCCACTTCATCAACCAGTGGATGAATGACACAGAGTTCTTCCTTGGGTAAGGGGGGTTACTCTCATTTAGAACTAGTTGGGGTAGACACATTTTGAATAAAATGAAAATCATAAATATTAGTTCACTTATGATTCTTATAAGATATTTACCAGCCGCAACAGTGAGGCTGGTATTTCTTTTCACCTCGTGAGTCTGTGTGTGAGTCATCATGGTCCTGGGAACTACCACAGACGCGGTTTAGAGTACTTTGCAAGGTGTTTATTTTTCAGTCTGTGGACAGATAGCACCACAACCGTGCAAGATGCAGTCACAAAAATTGATAAGCGTGTAGTTGAGATCAAAATGAAGGCTGAGTTCCAACTTGAATGGGGTCAGAGCAAGGGCTCAGGCAGTAGGGGAGTAGAAAGTGGAGAAGGAGCCACTGTACGCCCCTGGTCCGATTTGGCATCACAGCTGATGAGATCCCATCACAAGATGGTCTCTAGTTTGATGTAGTCCAGTCTGACTAGAAAGTAGCACATCAAAATATAAAATATGTCATGAAATAGGAGGTGCTAGAACCTTGGTGACATAGTGACTGTTGTGCTCTCAGTCACTAACCAGAATGTGTGTTTGAACACTCGTTATCTAACTCTAAGAACTACAGTGATTAAATGCATTTTCCAACAATGATGTTTTGAAAGGAGCAGTGTGTGAGCTTTAGTGGCATTTGGACGACAGCAACCAGCTGAATATCCCTCCGCTCACCGCTCCCTGTCCAAGCTCGTAGAGTAGACATGAAAGGCCTTCTCTAGAGCAGTGTTTGCTTTGTCCTTTCTGGGCTACTGCAGAAACATGGGGGTGCAACATGGGGGACTCTGTGGAAGAGGACCTGCTCTTCATGTATGGCTCATACATAAGCTAATACAGGATACAAGTCTTAGTTTCAGGTGATTAGACACCCTGAAAACATAGTTATGAATAATGTATTCCATTTCTGCTAATATTTCCCTCTACATCCTACACACTGGAACCTTAAGGTATGAAAAGAATACCCCATTGACATTTTATTTCCCGTTATATTTTCTCAATCTGCACATTCATTATTTATGGTTATTCAATAAATGTCTTCATTTGGAAATAGGCATATTTTGCCATATTTGTGTCATTATTTAGGTTCAGGTGAATACCAAAACACATAAGAAGGTTTACTTTGTCTCTTTTAATGCTTGTAAATACTGACAAACACTCTGTTTCGTGGATTCCTTAAAAAGACTTTTAGGACTTGATACCTTCAGTCGCCTCATTCTCAGCCTTTCTCTTCCTCTCTCTGATCCACTGCCCAGGCTCCATGACCGTAAGATGTGTATCATTGGCCTGAGCGTGCTGATGGAGCTGCCCATTCGGCCGGCAGTGCTGGAGGGAGTCTCCGCCCAGATTGTCCCCTCCATCCTGCTCCTGTTCCTGGCCCTCAAACACCTCAACGCCTCCCGCCTTGTCAACAAACCTGACCTGCTGGCCCATGCAGGGGCACAGGATGAAGACCAGAATGGTGAGAAAAGATCAGGGAAGAGCAAAAAGAAGAACATAAGGAAAGATACACCGCAGGACAGACGTGGAGGAATGAATGTAGATTGAATAAGGGCAGAAAGAAAGCAGAGAGGAGGACAGTAACTGGCTTAGTGATGATAATTATATGAGATTCTCCGTTTGGTTCTTCCGCTACTCAAATCATTCAGCTCTGAGCTCTAATGACCTGCACCAGATTTATGTTCTGGTTCCCACAAGCTCTACTTTGCTTCACTCAAGCATTAAAGAATGTAATTCTTAAAGCGTGTCTACTGCTTGTGGGGCAGACTGAAAGATGAACTTAGCGCTATAGTTTCTCCTGCGGCCTTATATTGAAAATCCATTGGGTTCAATGCATTAAATGGTTCAGAGTGCTGTATTCTAAACGGAAAAGCTGATATTTTCTTCAAGTGAATGCTGAACATGTTCGTGTAAGAAATACAGTATGCTCTCAGTCATGAGGGAAGGCTATAAGAGACTATGTTAAAGAGCAAATATCCAGAAACAGAAAAACATTTTACAACAGTACCAAGCGTTTGTCCCTGCTGTCAGGTCACCGTGAGAGCGCTACAAAAAGAACGTTCATATATTACATACAAAAAGTTATTTTCGATCTCAACATAGCAAGCTTTATTTTCTTGAAATCAGTAAAGACTGTAAATTCTCAAGATCTTTTATCAATAACTTTTCTCTATATGTACACGCATAAGAATTATCTAAACTCAAAAGCTGTGTTTCTGGACCCACGGTAGCCATTTTGAAGCAAATGGCAAATAACAGCATAATGAAGAAGCCAATGCAGATGATGTTGTACAGTAAACTGTACGTATAGACTCAGCTGCCAGTTAATCAGGTGAACATAGCGAAGATAATTGTTTCCTATGTAGCAAAATGGGACTACAATCTGAATTTTTTAAACCTGTAACTGCAAAGGATTCCATTCAAGAAGTTACAAGCTTTTGTGAAATGTCACTTTTTATAAGTTATGCTACTTTGTTTCCTGGAGTGATTTTGGGGATAAATATTTCCCTTAAGAATATAAAGTATGAAAAGCTGAGGAAGATGAAAGATCTGGTGTTTTATTGAGTGAAAGGACTATAAGAGTCAGATATGGTGGTTGCCATTTGGTCGTCCCACCATAGCTAGCTTGGCTATCTAGGTCAAGATTGTGTAAACAGCACATCAAGCTAAAACAAAATCCCTTGGGAAAGCTAATGGTTATGTCACCCACATTAGATCCATGGTTTTTCTACAATTTCTTTCTTTTAACACGTACAAAAAAAGCATGAATTCATAAGTGGGGAATTCTAATCAGTCTTAGAAACAGAAACTATAACAACTGACCTGAGAGCAGTCAGGTTTGCTAGCTAGATAGATGGAGCATCCAGTAAACTGATGTCACATTGTAATCTATTCCTTTTCCTGCCATTTCTTTCTCCTAGTGTGTTCAAAAGCTCAAAATGGCCAAAGATTGGCATTATGAAAGCTTGGATCCTAATGGCTGTGTTACTTTGTGTATGGGCAGAGGAGATTCCCAGTGATGAAGATGAAGTGACTGAGAACCGTAACGCCATGCAGCAGCAGTCCAGCATGCCGACGGGCCAGGCCGGCGAGGATGAGGATGAGGATGAGGATGAAGATGAGTACTGGGACGACGACTGCTTTGAGGGAACACCGCTGGAGGAGTACAGCACGCCTCTGGACTACGACAACGGAGAGGACGAGTACCAGTTCTTTACCGCCGCCCTGCTCCGTAAGTCATCGTTCAAATGTCAACTACAGCCCAGGTGTCTGCTTCAACAACTCTTCAGTGCCTTTCTGTTCTATGCAGGTTTATTTCTGTCAGAGCTGCTCAGGTCTCTGAAGCATCACAGCTAAATTACAAAACAAAGAAAAGATCCTTTCTCCAAAGATTGTTCATTCCTACCACACCCAGACAGATGATCAGAAGCAGGTTTATTTCTGTAGCACATGTGGTACACGGAGCAGTTCAGGGTGCTCTACATTAAAAACAAACCACAACAAACATCCATTGATAAAATATGATGAACTAATTGTAAAGTAAATAAAATAGTAGTTTTAACAGAGAGTAATACAATTACATATATGCAATACAAAACAATATACAAAGTACATGAAATAAAATAAAAACATAGTAGCTAAATCATACACTCATGAAAAGAGAAATGTTTTCAACCCAGATAAAGAACTGCTATATTTGGTGCACATCTGAGATCTTCCAGCAGTTGGTTCAGTTGCATGCAGCAGAACAGCTGCTCGCTGCTGCACCATGTTTATGGACTCTGGGCAGTGCTAGCTGAAGAGCGAGACTGAATTCTCGCAACTTCAAAAACCAACTTCTTTTGAAGATGAACAGGACATTTTTCAGGTTCAAGTAATGACTGGGTTGTTACTTTAGTATTGATCATGTTTGATATTTGAGTCATTTTGTGGATGATCAGATGGAGTTATGATGGTAGCAGTCGCCCAATTGCAGATTCAGCTTGAGCAAAACCTTTGCCTGTTGTGTTCAAATCAGGCCCACAGGAGTTTACAAGGCAGGTGTCCTTTCTCACAACACTGACCTGATGCATCAAGTGGATATTTTTTGCTGAACACAATATTATGCATTTGCCCTCTACATCCTCTAGTTGGAATGAGCATACTTATAAACGCATGGTTACGACTCCTTCATAGTGTCATATTGCTTTTCGGAGAATTATGATGATAAGTTCATAGTAGATGCAAAAGTATACTTATGTACAATATATTATGTTGAACATTGTTGCTCCTGGATGGATCACAGCCAACCCAATTATTGTCAACACAGCTCCATGTCCTTGGTCATGGTGCCACATCACTTAAAAGAATAAACTTCATAATTCTCAAAATTCTGACCCTTTGCTTTTTTATTAACAGCATTTACTTGTACTTTTACTTTCAATACTTAAGTATCAAAAGTCATTTTCTGATATTAAATGTACTTTTGATACTTAAGTACAATAAATATCAGATACTTTAAGACGTTTACTCAAGTAGTATTCTAATAGGTGACTTTCACTTTTACTGGAGTCATTTTCCAGTAAGGTATCTTTACTTTTACTCAAGTATGGCTTTTGGGTACTTTATACACCACTGGTAACAGAACTTTAAAATCTATTCCGTGATTAACTGGAAGCCAGTGCAGACTTCCCTGAAGTAATGTGCTCTGTTCTTTCATCCTGGATAAAACTGCAGAGCAACGCCAGCCTTCTGAATAAGATCTGAACCTGAGATCTACTAAAAGCAGGTCTGATGTTTGAAGTGAATCAGTATTCAACACTTTAACGAGAGCTGTTTCAGGACTGTGGTGAGGTCAGAAGCCTGATTGAAATTGAAGTCGCATGTCGATGTGTCCTTGAGCAAGACACTTAACCCCAAATGAATCCCGTAGCTGTGCCTACAGTATAGAAATGTGAATTGTAAGCCGCTTTGGATAAAAGCGTCTGCTAAATGACTGTAATGTAATGTGATGCTTGATAAATCATATAACAATTACTCCATTCTCAGAATTGTCAACTGATCAGTTAATCTGCTGATGTTTTCATTTTGATTGTGGCTGCATGAAAACACACTCACACCTTTCCCTGTGGCCGTGTGTGTTAGGGGTCCAGAACACTGATGCAGCCTGGTACCAGTGCTTGATAGCTTCGCTCAGCGACGACCAGAAGAAACAGCTGCAGGAGATCTACAGCATCTCACAGCAGAGGAGGAGCACTGCTGCCAAGGGCCACTGGTGAGAGGCCACACAAACACACACTGCAATACAGACAGGTAGAGAGAGGCAAGTTAGGTCAATTTCATTTATATAGCCCAATATCTCAAGTCACAAATTGGCTTCAAGGGGCTTTACAATTTGTAGAGCATACGACACCCTCTGTCCTTTCGACCGTCGCTTCAGATAAACAATTCATTGGAAGTTAAGGCAAAAAAGACGAGTTTTAAGTTCGGAAAGAGACACTGGCAGGGAAAGAGGGGTGTGACAAACTGCTTGATGAATTCAGTTTGGAATGCTTCATAACTGCCCTGAAGGGTTGTTGCGTCACAGTTTTCATAGCATGAGGTAGAAGAGTTCCAACTTTGACACACTTTCTGGAACACAGCATGAGGTAATTACAGTACCTTAAAACAAGTCTGAAAACGTTGACATTGGTTTTTATTCTGAAGTTAATTTGGGTAGATTTTGCAAAACATTTGTGAATTTTGACTTTTGTCCCATTAAAAAAAATAAATAAAGTAAATCTTCCAAATCTTGTTGTGTTTCCAGAGCACGAAGGAGACAGTCTGCAGAAAGAAGAGAGGAGCTGGTCTGACCTGACTTGAAGTGTATTTCTGAATTATCTCAGTCAGGATCAGACTTAATGGGTCCCATCATAACCAGGTCCCAGGGTGCCATCAGAATGGATGAGATATTAGGGGCTGGGTCGGCATCGTATCTTTGAACCTGGTGTACTGGAATATTCCTATCACCAGGACGGGACTGCTGGCCTGTGTGTGTGTGTGTGTGTGTGTGTGTGTGTGTGTGTGTGTGTGTG